CTCTTCACCATTACAAAGATCAACTGGTTAACGCTGTTTAAGGAAATAATCGCTGTTTATATTGTGAGAATCATAGGAAATCCATGGATACACTGAGTAGGTATCTAAATAATATTTAAGAATTCAGTCCGTACCGCGAAGAAGACACAGCACTTCATCATTACGAAGATCAACTGGTTAACGCTGTTTAAGGAAATAATCGCTGTTTACACTGAGAATCATACGAACATAAATACAAAACGAAGAGTTATTGGTTTTAAAAGCAGGTGGCACCACTATTCTTTGACGGCTTAACAGCGCGTAATCTATAATGTTTCAATTCACAGATGCCTGTCTAATTAAGGTAATATAAGCTTCGTTTTGTGAAGATGAAGATGGTGATATTACGGGTCATGATACTGTGTGGACTTGTAGGTGGAGATGGTAAATTCACCGCTGAAGATGAAGGTAGTATGTTCCTCCGAAACTTTGGAATCCATCTTTAAGTTCACATCACAACCTAAGAGACAGGCGTTTTCAAAGGGTATCTTGGCCAGAACTCTAATTTCTTGTATCTTCCATGAGAAAAGCATTTTCAGTTCGTTATGTATTAGAGTTTCGTCAGAAAGAGATGGAGATTTGAAGTGCTGATCTGGGTAATGATCCCGTACGTTTTGTTATGAAACTCTGAAAGGGACAGGGTAAGTAAAGTCAAAAACATGTAGCCTAGGTATGATCTTTGACTTCATACCGTTATGTTATGTTTGAAAATCCTGTACGTTTAAGTGTCCTTACCTTTTTGTATCACTCAGCTTGAAGTATCAACAGGTTTTCACTTCCTGCAGCTTGTAGTTAACTCAACTGTGAGCTTGAATCACATTTTGATCTTTGTTTTGTCCCTGAAGATACGGTTTCCAGGTTTCAGTATACGAGACACGACCTATTCCCGTGAAATCACCACTCAGCTAGTCAACATACATTCCCTATTTTAAGGAAACCAAAGGTTCATTACCTAATGGACTGCTACGTGCGATGAAGTAATTTTGTTTGTTAACAGACGCATTTGTAAAGCTAAATTGCTAACCCGTTATCTCCTACATTTTGACTTCTTATAGGAAAGAGATCTGGCACTAATCTATTTTCTTCATGTGCAAATAATGACTTCCTGAATCTGTTCTGACCTGTTGTAAGAAAGGTAAAGATGGATTAAAAACCTAAGATCCTACAAGGCAAAGATGATTCGCGTATCGTTGGGTCTCACCGCATGTAAAAATGTCTTGTTGAACACTTAAAGTTATTATTACTTATAAAATTTCGCACAGAGATATCAAAAACAGTTCGTGTACTGCTTTCATAAATTAACATTTGCAAAAGTCTTTCGCAATTTGAAATGTTAGCTTAAATATGTACGTAATATAACTGCATAATAGTGGCGTTATTCAACGCTTTTTTTTTCACGATCCTTGTGGCAGTGATTACAGAGGATAATTTATGTATGAAATTTTATATTCTTTGTCATCTAGGAGCATGCTTAATGCAAGGTGCAAAGAACGCAAATGTGAAAATTCTGTGCGTCGAGGTAGGATTACAGCTTTCCCGTCTTGTCCTGTATGTGTGCGAAACTTAGCTTAAATATACTTTGAAATAAGTATAAAGTACTGAAAACGAAAAAATGTGTGAAGGGATGGATACCACGAATGGAGAAATTTGCGTATGTTAGAGGGGAATATCATAAAAATATATATTCTGTGTCGACAACAAAGGGCTCGGATAATTAGCCAAAATTAATAAGAAGCTCACGCGAGCCCCTCCGAGTCCCCTTAAGCGTACCCCTAATTGTACCAGGGAGTTTGTAGCTGTCGACAATGAAAAATTTCAATCAGAATAATTGTTTAAAAAAAATCGATTCGAAGTCGATAGCAATAGCGACCTTCAGGCTTACTTAATCGGTTTTTTGAAACATTTCTGCCATCTGTTGATGATAGGACATGATTACGTGTATGGGGCTCAGCGCAGTAGTTGTGTGATAATATTATGTGTCGTCAACGGAAACGAATAAGTTCCAGAAAAGCGAGAAGATGGCTGCCTGGATGTCGGCAAGAGTTATCTTAAGTCCCGGTAAGAAAGTGTAAATGTCTCTTTGTTTAAATACGGCTAGTTAATATATTAAAGATACGTAAAAATTTGATTTTCAGAAGGCTGGATTGTTTGTGTACATTTATATATTGTACGTGGAGTAGGGCTTATTGCCGCGTGTTGTGAGGTTAGGTAAGGTTACTTTGTAGAGCACAAGACATGTCGCATATTTAGAAATAATGATTTTTAATTTCTTTGTTGATACTAAAGGTCTTTTGGGTTGTGAATCTGTGCAGCATTCGTCCTTAGGAATGAATTTGGAGGCAGCATGTTCCTTCAGAATGTTTCTATAAAACCATAAGACTACATGGTAAAACAACCCAAAAGACCGCAACCAAAACTTATACTGTCATTAAGCCTTCATATCCTACATAAAATATATTTGTTTTCATTATTCACCATGATGGCAGCAGTTTATGTAAATCTAGGGCCAAGGCTACCAAACACATAAATACCGAATTAAAAATCATCACTCAAATTTAGTTGTACAACTTTTTGTATGCAGTGAATTGTTACTATTAGTTGTATAACTGAACATTTATACTTCATGCTAGCCTCACTGAATAGGCTGTAGCATTTAAGGAAAAGTAAATAGCTATAAATTGTTCTTGTTTAAGGATTTTGTAACTAGTAGGAGTTGCATTGAGTAAGTCCTGGTTTGTGAAAGAACTGTGTTTTCTCTTTCAGTTGTACAGCGGACAATAAAACAGATTTTATTTGGCGGAGAAATTACTAAATACGTAAGTAACATTGAACATGGTAATAGTTTTTTGAGGCAGTTGTATTTTATGTGGTGCATTTATTGTCTTCACTCAGTCCATTTATAGCTACAGTTGTATCGGGGAATTTTAACTATTTCTCATAATGAGTGATGACAGAATTTTTAAGGGAAGGCAGAAAATGGTTCATTTATTCCTAAATGTGTGTATATCCTCTTTTTTTTTTGACATTTTTGTAATTAGTTTGCTGTTGATCATATTTGTTTAGATGGAATGGCTGTTAATTTGCACATGGAACACAGACTTGTGAAATTGGTATAACAGAGTTAGACTAATTGGATAGATCAGAATTTTAAACTCTTATCTCCACACATTGTTCTGCCTTTAATTTTAATTTTATTCTCATTATGTTTATTCCAATTTCCTTAATTTCAGCATCATAATGTGAAGGTAACAAAGTGGTTTCTTCCAGCATCAAATTTTCAGCGTTGTTATGCCACGGAGAAGAAGGTATTTTCACGCGACAAACCACATTGCAATGTAGGGACTATTGGCCATGTAGATCATGGAAAAACTACCCTCACAGCAGCTATTACAAAAGGTAACATACAGTTTTACTAGTTAATTTTCATCCATAAAGTTTTCTGTTTGTGGATATGAGTTACCTAATTTTACATTTTCTTTTTCAAATGTGTCATTGTTAGCTTCATTTGCCTAGAAACAAGAGTAACAGATCTTACATTAATGTAAGGCATTTGTGCAGAGACATGTATTGTGTAGTGTTAACTATCTGGGCATTAGCTTTAACGTTATATTAGTCATTTGCCTGTGTGTCGGGGAAGTTTTAATTAGGAAGGTCGCATGTGAATGTGCAGTAAAAGGGCTTTGTAGAAGTGGATTGGATCCATTTGGATTATGAGGTTTTGAAACATCATAATTGAATTATTTTTCTTTATTTTAGTCTTAGCTGATAAAGCACTTGCAAAGCTGAAGGGCTATGCTGAAATTGATAATGCCCCAGAGGAAAGGGCTCGTGGTATCACTATCAACGTTGCTCATATCGAGTATCAGACAACAAACAGACATTATGGCCACACAGACTGCCCTGGACACGCAGATTATATAAAGGTAATATTTTCATGTGTCTTGGTTACAGGTTTTTTATTTATTCCATACTGTATTCATCTAGCTCCCATTCGCCTGTTCTGGATGGAGGACATTGATTGAATTATGTTCTTTATGTTTGTTTAAGCTAAAGGCAAGATAAGATTTTCAATTTGATTGTAATTTGGATCCAGTTATGAAGTAATATCATGCATATGTGTAAGTTATGTGAAGAAAAACTGCGTTAGTCCATGCTTGGAACACTGACCTTACCACGATCAAATCATATATTCAGTAGTTTTGAATTTAAGCAAAACATTTGTGTGACTATACTGTGGGATAGATGACTGGGGTTCAATTCTTTGAAGGGCAAGATTTTTCTGGGTACTTGTGGGCTATCGGAACACATCGCTTTAAAAATAGGTTAGGTTAGTTGTCATTTATTGAAATAAAATATAATAACTTTCAACTATATGTCATTTATCCACACACATTAGCCTAACCTAACCTAACCTATCCTAACCTGACCTAACCTAACCTATTTTTAAAGTGATGTGTCTCGATAACCCACAAGTACTTTTTTCTGTTTGCTGCTGCATCCGGAATGGCTGTGAGGTCAATCCAACCTCTCGTGAGTACTTCGGTGATAAAGCAGCCAGGGCTTGAAGCTAACCAAGGAGTTAAGAATTGGTGGAACTAAACCTTTATTCCCCCTGGGACGACTTTACAAACCTAGGTCTTCTATAAATGTGCTGCGACAGGTTATATATTGTCATAACTCTAATAGCTCAGTTGGTAATACGCTCATGATTTGCTGTTTTCAGAATATGATTACTGGTACAGCCCAGATGGATGGAGCGATTCTTGTAGTAGCTGCAACTGATGGAGCTATGCCACAAACACGAGAGCATTTACTGCTCGCGAAGCAGATCGGTATCAATCATATTGTCGTATTTATTAACAAGGTATAATTATTTAGAAAATGGAGATTTTTTTTATAGAATTTTATGTTTATTCCAAATTTGTTGGGGTCAGACATGATAAAAGAATCGATGGAAATATTTTTAGAAAGTGAAAGATGCTAGTATTTTAATAAATAAGAACATACACGCAAAGAATAGTTGTATGATCTTATGCTGTTGAAGGAAATAACTCTGCGAACCATTTTGGTAAAATTGAAAACAGCCATCACCTGGGGGCTTATAGTTTGATGCACGTAGGAATTGATATACTCATGATGGAAAATGGTTAATTTATTCTAACTGGTTAAGTCACTGGCTGTTTGTCTTCAGGTTTCTTGGTTTATACTCCAACAAAATGTGTTTATTTGTATTTCAGTTCAGTTATATTTCGATTCTTTATTGCATCGTGCTTTTGTAAAATGGCTCACTGTGAGATTTTGACTTTAGATTGATGCAGCTGACCAGGAGATGGTGGAATTAGTGGAAATGGAGATACGAGAACTAATGACGGAGATGGGCTATGATGGAGACAATGCTCCTGTTGTTAAGGGGTCAGCTTTATGTGCTCTTGAAGGCAAAAATCCAGAGATTGGTAAGCAATTCAGCATGCAGAACAGTCCCAGCTGGGATTCAAATTTGTCGCCATTTTTACACTCACAAATATTGTGAACACATGACATGACACATGTTTGAGAAAAATGTGTTATCCTTTGTAGAAACAACAGATCTCCCATTATTAATTTTTTGTTGCCTTTGTTATAACTGAATTTTATTATTACAAATATAATTTGTTGTCCACAAAAGTTCATTATACTGAGACTTTATTTACTGTATTGGGTATAATTTTAGGTGCTGATTCTATAATGAGCTTGCTAGAAAACATAGACAGTCACATCCCAACACCAACGAGAGAACTTGATAAACCATTCCTTCTTCCAGTTGAAAATGTGTATTCGATCCCAGGTAAGTCACGGGTCAGATTATTTTCTCTTCTTTACCACCTTTCTAGAAATCTCTTGTCCACCTAGATAGTAGATGCTTGTAATGATTTTAAGTTTGTTACTTGGAAGAAACATGTAGTAAGACTTATTTTCTTTTGATATTTGAGAAAATTTTTCAAATGTCGTGTGTTTGTAGCCATATAAAGCCACAGAATTATTGCAATCTTCTCTCTCGATTATGTGGTCACCTGAAATCGCTCGCTACCTGGCTACATTACCCAATAAGTTCATGATACAGCTTGTTGCTGTATGATCGCTTATGAATATGTTGGCTGATGGAAAATAGATCCAGAGCATGTGAATTTCTTCTAAGAAAACTTCAGTCCCAAGTTGATGACTCACTATTAGCCTGATCTACCCTCTGTTATCCTTATCACCGTAATTATGGACAAGTTCGGCTACCCCATAGCCTGGATATTCATCAGAGCATTTTTTATGTTTCGGTTCACAAGGAAGATGATTATTAATAGAACTGAGGTCTGTAGTCACGTACAGTAATGACGTATGTTCACTGCATATAAGTAAGATTGACTTTTTTCAATCACCCATGAAGTAATAGATCTTTTTTTTTTATTTTATCGTGATGTGCTTTCTGAAATTTTTTGTCTAGGCCGTGGAACTGTAGTCACAGGTAGACTGGAAAGAGGAGTTATTAAGAAAGGAAATGAATGTGAATTCGTCGGACACAACAAGACGATGAAGAGTACAGTTACAGGTAAGTATTTTCTTGTGTACTCGTATACAAGTATATTTCATAATTAATTATATACCATATATGCACTCTAATTACATGCAGATTAATGCTGTCAGAAAAGGGTCATAATAACAGTAGCAATAACAACCGATTACATGGTGTAGAGTCATTGAAAAGCTGTTAGTTGCTCAGCCAGTCAAGAAATTTCCAATCTTTTGAATTTCACACCCATACAAAACATAACAGCAACAACATTTTGATATTACTGTTAAAAATGTATTATGCGATATAGCTTTCGTTCTTTACGCTTGTGATTTTCTTAAATTTGAATGGGAGTGGTAATTCTAAAATTTGTTGCAATAGGTGTTGAAATGTTCCACCAAATCCTAGAAGAAGCGCATGCAGGTGACCAATTAGGTGCACTGGTAAGAGGGATAAAAAGAGAAGACATTCGTCGTGGGATGATAATGTGTAAACCAGGCTCGGTAAAGGCCCAAGATCATGTTGAAGCTCAGGTAATACAGGCACATCAAGGTATTGGACTGTACTTTATTGAGAATTGTGTTTCAGTTGCTAATTTTACTTATGTTGTCTTTTTGGTAATGTTTAAACCATATTTATTCTGAGGTTAATAAACTTCTACCTAGACTGTTGCAGGCTTTTTAGCAGCTACGTGGTTCCAGAGGCAGTAGAACATTTTCTGTTGCTGTGTAAAGTATGACCACTTTTATAACTATACATTTTTTCAGGTGTATATTTTAAGTAAGGAAGAAGGTGGTCGAGCGAAACCCTTCACATCATACATTCAACTTCAGATGTTCTCGAGAACATGGGATGTTGCAGTACAAATCATTATTCCTGATAAGGAAATGGTTATGCCTGGGGAGGATTCCAAGTAAGTGTAATGTAAAAACACGAGTAATAGTTATAACTTTGGGTTGAATAATAATTGACATGCAGCGTTGTGTGAAGCAGTTTCAATCAAAAAGGACATTGGTGTGACAAACAAGAAAGCAACACAAAGTTTTGGACAGAAACCAAAAGAAAAGTAGAAATATTTTGTGTGAAATGACTCGGAGTCCAATGGTTGGCTTTTGTGGTGGTGAATATTGGTGTCCATAACGGTAAGAAATTTATTGAATAGTCAAATACTCATTGTATGCACAGAGTTATAATGAACTTATGACCTGTTCTTTTGTTTATTGTGCGTAGTTCATACTGTAATTTCACTTTTAATTTCAGGTTGGTTTTGAGATTATTTAAACCCATGGTTTTGGAACAAGGTCAGAGGTTTACCCTTCGAGATGGTACATTGACTCTGGGAACAGGTGTTGTTACAAAAGTGATGCTAGGCCTTAGCGAGAAGGAGAGACTGTTGATTGTAGAAGGAAAGAGAGCATGCCAGGCGGCGGCGGCAACTGCACAGACAGGATAGGCTCAGTTAGCTGCTTGGTCACAAGCGAACATTAAGCAAAACTCCATCGATAGCTAATATGTAAGTGAAGAGAACGTTGCTTTGAACGAGTTCAAGGATGACAGAATTTGTTCAGTCCTATTGTTTATAATATAAATGCATGACTTCCATGGCAAAATAAACGTGTGAGGAAATCTGGGCTCAGTAATATCACGTGTCTTTTCGGTGAGTGCATTCTCTGAGCTGACGTGTATGTAAAATTGTTTTGTGAATACATACTGACATCAGGAGCCAATCGTGTAGCTTTATTTTGACTAGACTAGGCAGGTTTCGTAAATCCTTTCAGAGTCCATATATTTTAGTGAACACAGTAAATAAGATCACGTTTTGCATTTAATACAATAATCCCATTTCAAGTGTCAAGTTCCTGTGTTGATAGCAGTGGGATATTATAGCTAACGACTAATTTTGAGTTTCTTCACAATTAAAATATCAGCCACATTCATATCTCATATAATGGAACTTGTATATAATCTGTGCTTTTTGTTTTGTATCAAATTTGTAACCAAGGAAGGTAAGAATTCCTTTATTGATCAATTTGATTTAAGGATTTATTTACTTGTTTGTGATTTAATGATTCTGTCAATAGCTTAGAGCAGTGGTATTCAACCTTTTTTTGTTCGCGTACCCCCAGATATAATTTCCCTTCAACTTTGTATCCCCAAAGTTGGTGTATAATTCATGTTATGCATAGTATATAATCTACATCTAAAATAAATTACATTTCTGATTATTCAGTGTTTATCATAAAATAATATATAATTTTTTTAAATTTTACATACTCCAGGTTGAATACCACTGGCTTAGAGTATGTAATATCCACTTTGAATATCCTTGCTGTAATGACACACCAAAACAAATATTGGTAATTTAAAACCAAAGAGCTTATCCTATGGTTTAATTAACATACATGATCGGGTCTGCATATCTTTGGCATGCGCTTAAAATATGTGATTTCTGCAGTGTGTTAACTCATGAACATTGTGTGAATCACATGAAGGGGGATTTCCCCGGCCAGTTAGCCAGTGAAAGGACAGCATGCTATCACTTGATGATGTTCTGTTTGCACTCACTCCATATTTAAGCCAAATCATATATAGGACAAGTATTCCTGGTGTAAACAAAGTTTTGATTTATCAGGTGTGGCAGCCCCCAAATTTTCATGATCTCAAATTCCTGTAAGAAGGGTCAGTGCCTTGATATTCAGGTCCTCTTTCGAAGTGGAACTTTAATTTTAACTAAATGCCCTTAGAAGAGTACAGGTTGAACTATTGAATTCTAGCACGCATGAACTTGAATCTCTAATAACAACACATTGTCCTAGAAGTCATGCATTACATTGAAGTTTACTTATTATAATATATGACTGTGTTAGTGTTCGTAGTAGAGGTGCAAAAGTGTTTGCAGCTAATTGTAATGTATGAAAAGTGTTGATCAACTTTAGTAACTTTGTGTTTGCTGTATCACAAATCAATTGAAATATAGTTCTCCGTTTTGTTACAAAACAGTTTCATTCTGTACTGTATTCCAGCATTGGTTCCATTTTACATGGGTAAATGTTCTGTATGCAGTTTATAAGTAAAAAATTAAATCCGTGGCGTAACAGCTCCAGAGAGCCAAAGCTGACTAGCTTGACTGCTGGCCTCACGTTCACATGCCTAAGCAGAGGTGAACGATCATCCAACCAGATATAGGGTGACATGTGGTCAGCATGACAAACCCCCAGCCATTGCTAGCTTACCTGACTGGATTACGCTACTCATTGTAGCTCCCCAATTTCCTCATGATGCTGGGTTGGCACCGGTCCCATACACTGGTCGAAAGCTCACGAGAAAATTTCTTCTCCCCCGAGACTCGAACCAGCGCGCATTCCGTATCGCCGGTCCGAAGCATGATGTCTCAGACCGCGCGGCTACGGCGGGGACGCAGTTTATAAGTATGAAATGTAATAATTCTCTTGAATGTTTCAAGATTATGTCCAAAAGAAATATAAATTTATCTTGTAAACCACAAGTCAAAAAATGGAAGGGCAGAAAGATACACGTTTTGATCAGCTTCTTTTAAAATTCATGCCTTTCAGACTTCCCATTTAATTAAAACCAAAAAATTTTCAAGAATATAGTTGTAACGACTGTATCTGGAATTGGAGGAACTCCCAACATAATACAGAGCACATAACCTCAAACTATCCTAACTTTTACAGGAGCATACAGTAAGATTTATGTAATAAAACACTCAAAAATACTTTGCAGGCCAGTACAAAGTTTATTTTATTCCATTTTATACATTAATCAGTTTTCAAGACAAAACCAATTTCTACAGAAAAAACGTATACCACAAAGTTTTTCTTTAGAAATTAACCTGATGACTGCCTTCAAACCAAGGCTTTTAAAATAAAGCTCGATGGAAAACAAAATACACCAGAGTAAAATATGATAGTGTAACTTTTATAGTATGTTACAGAACATGCTGAGAAACTGTTGCAAACTACACTTCGTTAAATATACCTCAAAACAAACACCCAAATGCATCAATATTCACTCCTCTGGTCTATAAAAATAGTAAACAGTCCTCTAATATGCACTCCATCCATACAGCTCACAACAGGCATCAAGAAATAGCACACAACTCAAATAATCAAACATTTGAAATTTGTCCTCAATCTGATTTTCAATGCAATATATTTAACAATTTCAGCATGATGTAAATATACAAGGCAAATGTGATTTTGCAGTTGACTTGAAATTTGCACTTAAATGAACACAAACATTAAAATATTTACAGATCTTCATCATCCTCCGGAAGGGCCGTCTCTTGAGCTTCCTGCATCAGAAAAATCACAGTTAACACAAGTTAAATGTCATATTTACTTAACTTACAAAATGAACTTAAACAAGATTTGAACTTTTTTATTCTTTAAAAAACACCAACCTTTAGGTCCTTCTCGATCTGTAGCTGCCAGTTGGGGTCCATCGTCACCTCTGGTGGCACCAGCGCAGGCATTGCCACAAATTCAAGATTTGGATCGCCAATCAGTTTCCTTGCCAACCAAAGGAAAGGTTTCTCGAAGTTGTAGTTGCTCTTCGCGCTGATGTCGTAATACTGGAAAATAAAAAAAGGATTCTACGACTTAATATAAATTTTTACTGGAAGTCATCATACTGCAACTGAACCCATAGTATCATCTCAGATTAGAGGGACAGATCTTAAGTCCTCATTCACATTGCAATAAGTACGTCTGATTCATCAGTGATGACATCATACAGATTAGACATGTAAGCGTAGAAATATTCCGTACCTGCAAATTCTTCTTTCTGTGAAACACGATGCTTTTTGCTTTCACTTTTCTGTCCTTGATGTCTACTTTGTTCCCACACAGAACAATGGGGATGTTTTCACATACTCGAACAAGATCACGATGCCAGTTTGGAACATTCTTGTAAGTGACTCGAGATGTAACGTCAAACATTATAATGGCGCATTGTCCCTGAATCAAAATGCACCAACAAAATAGTGAAATCATACATCACAAGTAATAAATTCTTGTGTTGTGTAAAAAGCTGTCAAATTCATGCGGGTTTCATCATTTAAAATATGCAAAGGGTTCAACCAGCCTTAAGAATTAAAGTCCACAAGCGGGGTTAACGTTGAACAGTACCATACATTGACAAAAACTATTCTGGGTTGTGATAACGCGCAGGTTCGTAGGTAGATAGCTACAAGTCTACGTAGCATCACAATACAGAAGAGCAATTTCATCTTAACTGCTATGAAAACCTAAAATATTTTGTACAATGCATGTCTGTGCATAAAATCTGAATGGTTATGAACTTTAATTAGCAAGACCCCTTTGTAACCATGCAGCTACTGGGAAAAGCTGGAGTTTACTAATTCAATGTAAGTAGTACCTCTTGAAACACAGTGATATACATGTCTCATATGAAAGTTTAAATGTATATCACATTATGTAAACATTAAGATTTGTTACTTCATAGTTAACCTATCATGATTCACTGCAATATGTTAGATAAAAGTAAATACATGATGATATTAACCTGTATATAATAGCCATCTCGTAGACCACCAAATTTCTCCTGTCCTGCAGTGTCCCACACATTGAAACGTATCGGTCCTCTGTTGGTGTGGAATACAAGAGGATGAACCTCTACACCTAACGTGGCAACATATTTCTTCTCAAATTCTCCAGTTAGATGACGTTTTACGAAAGTAGTTTTCCCTGTGCCTCCATCTCCAACCAGCACACACTTGAAAGTAGGCATATCAGGATCTTGTGCCATGATGATTACTCCGTTGAGCTTGCCGCCTATAAATTCACACCAAACTTAAGTAAAACCCATAAATGCTCAACTCTCCTTGTACCAAACATCCTTGAAAAATAACCTGTACCACATGATGCAAGACAATGATACAGTTTTATATATTTCGTCTGTACAAACATATGAATACTTCTTACATATTCAATTTACATTTTAACCATAAACCACGTGCTTTTTAATAAATACAACTATTATTCCTGAGAATTCTTACAAATAAGGTGGAAATGGCGCCTTTTCGTTGGATCAAAGGAATTTGGTATCGCAACACCGAATTCAACTTAGTTATATACATAAATTATTGCTCTAAATCGTAACATTTTTGAACCAACGTCCTTATTAATGCATTAATACACTATTTCATAAGTGAAGACATAAACCATACACCGATGCACGCAAAATTGTATGATAAATCTTACCTTGGTGCAAAGTCGTTACGGTCCACAATGGCGTTCGGCGGAAAGGAAGATGGACCTTTCAATGCTTTTAATTCATAAAATCGTATAATATTAAAAGTAACGGAAACATATAACAAGCTTAATATTAATAGGAATGACATGAAAAATGGTGATTTTATATAATATTTAAACGCGTAAATACAATACTTTACTAAACTATAAAATATTTTACGTCACATTTTGCGACATTCTGTTGACGTCATTCACGCATGCGCACATTGACAGACGGCACTGCAGAAGCAGTGAAATCATAAGCGTATCGATTTTTATTATTGTAGTGTCTGTTTCCTTAGTTTTAGTGTCATTTCATGGAAATATTTGTGAATGGGATGCTTATATAGAGCAAGACGAACCCTCACTGTGTGAATTGGACAGTTAGAAGATGACGAAGGATAGGTTAGCAGCCCTGAAAGCGGTGAGTGTAGTTCAGTGGCATCCCATCTTTGCAGTGCAGCCTAACCCACCCATAACATATAGCACCTGACAGTAATGCCAGTCTCATTATTATCCTAATTTTGTTTTAATATTATAAAGAACTGTGATGGATAAGGCAGATGTACTTTGCCAGTGAAAGAGAATGACGAGTCATTAATGAAAGGAGCCTACGTGAATTGCCACTATAAAATTTGTGATAGCTCTCTCAGGTCGAATTTTATATGTGACAGTTGGTTGGTACGTTCGCCAGTGTAATTCATTATTAGGGCATACATTACAAATGTCTTCAGAAATGGTGTGATCGTAAAATTTATTGTGCCACTGGTTTGGTTTACAATTTCAGTTTGATGTTTTTCATATCTTTAGTTTCCAACATTCCACAGTATAAGTTTTTCCACTGACAACATTTATTGTTGGACACTCATTTAACTATAAAATGCGTCAGGCTGAGGTCCATCATTTTTGACCGATACTGAATTGAAAATTTATTGACAAACTTTTAGGGTAAATTACAGTAATAAAATTCCATTGTTCTGATGACGCTGATTGATCCTAACCTATCTTTATTTCCAGTGTGTTTAGTGATGAAGTATGAGATGAAACACTACACAGAGAAATGTTGTTAATCTTACATAATAAAACGACTCCTTCTGGGAGTGAAGTATGTGCTGTCATAATTCCGTTGGAGTGATTGGTTTTTAGTTCAATGGAAAAAGTTGACAGTGGAACCACGGTTCCGGAGAATCTGACGTAAATACGTCTCTGTAATGTAATGTAATGTAATAATTCTTATATAAGATAAGTACTTGTGATATTTTAAAACGTTTTTACCTGCACAAAATTATCTAGTCTATGACGCACTTCTTCTACAAGCGATTCACAGCTCAGCTCTTTCCACAATAACGAAAGCGGATTGTTGACGGTAGTAATGTAACAAAACAATGCCGAGTAAACAGATGACGTAACAATTAGTTTCTTAGGTAACAACAATGCACACAAGCTGACCATTGTTGTCAGTCCATATTAACACATTGTTGATATGGATCTTACACGTTTTCCTAGGTAACAACAATGCCGAGTAAACACGACGTTCCATAGGTAACCATTGTTGTCGATTTGTTGATACGTATCTTACACATTTTCGTTACACTTTTTTGCCGAATGACCCTGCCGTATAGACGTATTTACGTCAAAATTTCATGCAGCAGAGTAAATGCTGAAAAGAATTACATATTTTGATAAAAATGTTCCACATACTTTTGACGTAAATACGTCTATACGGAAGGGTCATTCGGTAAAAAAGCGTAACGAAGATGTGTAAGATCCATACCAACAATGTGTAAATATGGACTGACAGTGGTCAGCTTGTGTGCATTGTTGTTACCTAAGAAACTAATTGTTACGTCCTTAAAGATTTTCGTTACTCTTTTTTGCCGAATGACCCTGCCGTATAGACGTATTTACGTCAAAATTTCATGCAGCAGAGTAAATGCTGAAAAGAATTACATATTTTGATAAAAATGTTCCACATACTTTTGACGTAAATACGTCTATACGGAAGGGTCATTCGGTAAAAAAGCGTAACGAAGATGTGTAAGATCCATACCAACAATGTGTAAATATGGACTGACAGTGGTCAGCTTGTGTGCATTGTTGTTACCTAAGAAACTAATTGTTACGTCATCTGTTTACTCGGCATTGTTTTGTTACATTACTACATGACAATAGGATGTAGAATAAGTCATAATAATACAATACATGTTATACAAATACAAGTCATACTATTATATAAATGTCACAAAATACAAACAAAAGGTTCACATAAAGTAGAGATAAGTTACAAATAAATCCACCCATTACGCACAAGAAAAATTTATCATTTATTTTTAAACAACATAAATTCATTGACAGAGTAAAAGGAGTGTGTAATTAAGTATCTTTTTAATGCTGGTTTAAATTGTGCCTTTTTATTTACGAGACTTGTGAGATTTGATGGTAGACTGTTGAAAATTTTGATTCCTGCATAATGTGCAATCGCTTGTAGAAGAAGTGTGTCATAGACTAGATAATTTTGTGATGGTAAAAACGTTTTAGAATATCACAAGTACTTATCTTATATAAGAATTATTACATTACATTACATTCAGCTGCCACAGACCCATCTTAAGCGTAACTAATTCAAGTTAAATAAGCAAAGTCTTAATCAAACTTTACTCAATTGTAAAGCATATATAAAGGAAATATTTAGAAGAAAGCTAATATATAAACTTCCTTTCATTGTATTTATTGCTTAAATATAATTTAAATACAGAGACGTATTTACGTCAGATTCGCCGGAACCGTGGTTCCACTGTCAATTTTTCTCCACGCTGAATCTGTTTCATAAAATAATAGGCTGGATGAACAACAACATTACAGTGATGCAATTAGTATGGACAAACTTCTGTATTTACAATTTATCTCATATTTCATTACTAAACTTCTCTTAAGCATATTAAAACTGAAACTAACATTGGTTATGGTTGTTGGTGGGTAGAGTGCTAGCCTAGTTCAGACATTGGACAATGTCCAATGAAATATTTTTATAACGAAGGTGATATGTGTCTAACTGCCAGGATAGCCAGAGAGAGAGAGTTTTGACATTAATTATGGTGTAATTAAAACACACTGCAAAATCGATGAAACGTCACTTAATATTGTTACATATTTCTAGGATTTAAATAAATTTCTGATGATTGTTATAGGCACAAAGTGACGATGATGATGTTGGCCCTGATGATGTCACTGTCACGGTGGAGGGAGGATTCATGGACGAATTCTTCGCTGAGGTAAGTGTAGTTTAATTTGGATGCATGTCTAGTGATTTTTGACTGGAGGACATAATTGCTGATATCACTGTACATCAATCACATGTAGAAAAATCTGCGTTATGTGCTGTGTGGGAGAATCACCTGTTCCTATATGTTAAAGGCAGAGCAGTCTATAGTTGCTTCCTTCCACGTCCATTCCAGTTCATAGTTGAGCTCGGACTGAAGAAATTTAAAATAAAATGAAAGGTATTTAGTACAATTTTTCTGGACAGTCAGCCACGTCAGTGTTAAGTTAGATGTCAACATTTCAAAGACTAAGCTCTGTCTCCATCTACAGGGTAAGTGAGAGGAATTACCAGATTTGCTGATATATATATATATTACATTCCATGGATCCATAAGATAGTCAGATGACAATAGGATGTGGAAAAATTCATACTATTATATAAATTTCACGTAATACAACAAAGGGTTCACCTAAAATAATGAAATTTACAAATAGATCTACCCATTACACACAAGAAAAATTTATCATTTATTTTTAAACAACATAAATTCATTGACAGAGTAAAAGGAGTGTGTAATTAAGTATCTCTTCAATGCTGGTTTAAATTGTGCCTTTTTATTTACGAGACTTGAGAGATCAGATGGTAGACTGTTGAAAAATTTGATTCCTGCATAATATGCACTCTTCTGAAAGCATGAGAGGTTGGCAATTGGTCTATGAAGCTGATTTTTATTCCATGTGTTGGCACTGTGTACAGCAGAATTAGTTTGAAAGAGTTCTTGGTTATTTACAATAAAGTTCATTAACGAGAATATGTATTTACAAGGTAGAGCTAAGATCTCTAATCTCTTAAATAGACTTCTACATGAATTTCTAGTTTGACACCAGCCAATAATCTAATAATATTCTTTTGTAAAGTGAATATCTTTTTGCTCTATGTTATATATTGCATTTCAAAAGGTTTAAATATTAATGGAATGCAGTCATTTCTCTTATCTAAGGAGGTGATGCTATAGAGATAACAAGCCAGGTTCTTCAAACATCTGTGCATTGCTTGGTTATTTGTCATGAGTCAAGCATTTCAATAGCTACTTATAACTGGAAAGCAGCTAGACAGAATATTGTCAAATGATAGGATTATCAATTAATAATGAATTAGAATGAGTATGGAAGGAAGTGGTTATGGCCTAATTTAATGTACGATCCAAGCACTTGCTTGAACAAACTGAGGAAACCCACAAAAAACATGCGTAAGAGTAACTGGTCTCCAGCCTGAGAATTTAACCCGGTACTTTCTTCAAAATACGAAGGAGGTGTGCTAACCACTCGGCCACATCATCCGTTTCTCGACTTCTTGGTGGATGAGTTAGTCCGTTACAGTATCCGGTAAATTAACTAAAACTTTACCTTGCCCAGTGGACGACTTAATTATTGAATGCAGCACGTTTGAGTGGTAGGAAATCAGAACCCATGAGAAATTAATACCAGTAACCACATCATGAGCATGATTTCAACCAAACACCTGTAAGTTCAAGACCAACTGGTCAACTGAGAAATAATTCTGGACAATCTGATCAGACAAAGAAGGGTTGGTCCTGTGTATGTGGGACAGTTGGAAAAAACCACTCCAGGAACTCTGCAGGACCACCCCAGAACCATGCCAGGAACTATGACTTCTCCAGGCCCACTCCAGTATTTCTATAGTACCTTTCCAGGAACTCTCCAGGCTTACTCCAGTAGTTCTCCAGAACTACTCCAGAATCTCCCTAAGACCACTTTAGTACACTTCAGCACCTCTCCAGGCCCACTCCAGTACCTCTCCAAGACCACTTCACCAGGACATCCTAACAAGCATTCAAGCACCACACCTGAACCACCCCAAGACAAGATAACCTAACCCAACGTGACAACCCAATCCAACATAAACTAACGAAACATAATGCATACAATCCAGACTTCTCCAAGTCCATTCCGATATTTCTAGGCCACTCCAGTACTTCTCCAGAACAACTCGTGGAATGCACCAGTACACTTGAACAACTCTAGGACGTTTCCTAGAATACTCCAGTAGATTTTTAGGCATTCTAGACCATTCCAGTACTGCCAGGCCACTCCAGTAATTCTCCAGAATGTCCTGTATAGGTAGAGGCCTTGTGATGGGCTGATCACTCATCCAAGGAGTCCTACCAAATGTCTAAATAGCTTATGAAATGTCCCATTTGTAGGGAGGCCAAGGTCTTTCAAGGATTGTCAAGCCATGGAGTATGGAGCAAGTTAATGCTCAGAACACATCCTTGATGTGGAATAAGGTCGTCGTGTTGAAAGTGGCTATATTAAAAATGAAATGCAAAGGTTAATTTTACATGCCATATAGTCTTGTAGGTGCACCACTGTCTCGAAGATGGGTGTGATAAATTCCGCCAAAAACATTTACAACTACCTATAAAACTATCTGACCATAATTGATACCTGCAACACTAAAAAGCTTCATAACCCAGGAGACATTAATCCAGAAATTTCGCTGCCATGATAATCTCAAATCCCTTTGACCAGTTGTGTTATCAGATTCAAATATTGGCTGGCTTACTAGCTATCAGATAAGTTGTGTTTGTTTCTGTCAGTTTTTTTAGATGAATACCGAGATAGTATCTTGAAATACAGCATAAAATCTTTTTCTCACCCTGTTTAGTTCCCTATATATTTGATAATTTCATTTTATTCACATCTAAATTATTTTGTTGGTTCTGAGTAATTTATCAAATAACCAAATCACCAAACAAATTTATCTGTTATTATTACTGCTAGTATAGTACGCATATTTTTCAGAGCCGCTCTCTCCTACTTTTGCGCCCCTCATTGGTTTTTATGTTCGTTAATTGCTTTTTACAAGTCTATCATTTCAAAGCCAATAACATTCGTATGTCACCGCAGAGAGTTAGAAATTATTTGTGGTTTCATCTTTATCCCAAGATGTTTCTACTCTGTCTGGATTGTCTGACAGCCAAGCCTTTTATCCGATTGCGTGTTCCCATAGCTCCTCCTCATTTTCTCGCCATGGTTTTCCTTATATTCGTGTCACAGCTTTCCTAACTTGTTCTCATCCTGATCTCTGATTTCCTCATCAGTAGTTTCCTTTAGTTTTGTGTTTAAAACCTTATTAGGAATTTTCTGTTTCTTCGTTCTCAAAAATATGTCTGTACCTTTGTTAGCTTGCCTTAAATGATGTTTATTTTTAAATTACCTGTTGTTTTTTTAAAATTTGTGTTCCATCTCTTATAATTTTTTCCTCTGTACTCCTTGAAAATTTTATTTTATTTCTTGCATTTTGTAAATATTCACTGTATTGAAAGGTGTTTAAAATAAAAGTTGTAAATTTAATGAGATCCTTATTTTGTTATGTTATGTTATTTATTTATTTATTTTTGTAGAACGAGCCGTGTTTAAGTGTACTGATCGACTTATACCAAATTAAATCCTTGTGGCAAAGTTTAATGTAGACCACTCAGTACCAAATTTTATCTGTTTTTGTTGAGTAATGTCTAAGATCACGCATGCAAATAGAAGAATAAACACAGATGGATCATTGTAATTAATCCATTATGCATTCGTTCGTGTAAGGAACGCATAAAACCACGTCCACATACGGGCACTTGGGGGCTGTGAGTATTTAGCTAGTGGTTAATATGTTGCAGGTGGAGGAAATCCGGGAGATGATAGATAAAATACAAGCCAATGTGGAAGAGGTGAAGAAAAAACACAGTGCCATCCTTTCAGCTCCACAGACTGATGAAAGTAAGTACAGATACATTTTGTATGAAATTGACATGAACCGGTCCTTCAGTGCCTTGAGCATCTGCGGGTCCCAACTTTTCGTTGGCTTTGATCTGTTAGACATTCGGTAGGACTCCTTGGACGAGGGATCGGCCCGTCGCAAGGCGTCTACCTGTACACAGGACAGCACGACACAGAGAGACGCGGACAAACATCCATGGCTTGAGTGGGATTCAAACCCACGGTCCCAGAGACCAAGTGGCACGAGGCTCACGCTTAAGACCGTGCGGCCACTGTGACGGCAACTCAGTGATGCTATGCCATTTTGTATGAACATGAAATAATTAATGAATTATTCAAATTTCTTCATTAAACTCAGAGAAATCTTTTGACAGGCATATAAATGGCTGTCATGTTAACTTTGTTTTGAACTGAGTTTTTTCATAATTTTCCTCAAATCTTCCTGATTACCCAAAATATTAAAACTGCTGTCCCAACGAACCATTTATAATTACCATATATTTCTCACTTATCCTTTTAGAACATTGCAGTTGTTACGGTTTAATTGAAGGAAAACCACAGTAGATCCTGATTATGGTGGAATTTCCGCAAAAGCACCAAAAGCTGTCAGTGGGTAGCGTCAAGTTATAAATAGAGAAATTAACAAATCCTACGTATTTATCTTGTTTTCTTATTTTTATAGGCGTAATAGTTGATGTAATGACATATTTTTTTCTGGGTATTGCGTCTTGCGAAATTTTCAAGCATATTTTTGGTATTTTGCTATCTGATGCTTGTAACAAGTTTATTCTGTGAAAGGGAATGTTTATGAATTGATTACTGTAGTAAGTCCATTTATTATGGTGAGCGGATGTCTTGCAGATGAAAAGGATTTTCAGTGGGATCATTTTACCTGGTGGCGAAGCCCGTTGAGGGTTGTGGGAGATCATGAACAGAGTAGGCGAAGCTGTGTTTCTTGATCCTCTGATAAGATATTGTATTGTGAAGCGTTTGTCTCGTAGTGAAAGTCCTCAGCAGGACACGTGTATGAAGCATATTCGATAGCGCATTCTGGTTGTGTGCTGCTGTTGGTTCATCGTCCATTCTATATTCTCTGCCCGATTAACTGTAGATAATATGTGGCATTGATAAAAGGTATTTGGATTAACAAAATGAGGAGGATAAGGTGGGCGAGATGAATGGCATGCATGGAGGAATTGTGGTTGGAAAGTCTGAAGGGAAGAGACTTCTTGGATGGCGCCATGTAGGCGCTTGGGGGGGAGAGGTGGTATAGCTCCTACTCATTCTTGACCTCGGCACTAGATGGGGGTGAGTGGTCAGCATCACGCCCCGGCCGCGCTTTACCCCTGGGAAAAGACCCCGGTACCCATTGGATAGGAGGCTGGGTGGGCCCCAGAGCCGGTCTGGACGCAGAGGCTAGAGGAAAGATCCTCTGTCTTCATGGTGTAATTCATGTCCTTTTATGTTTAGAATCTGATTTTGGTGGTCGATAAGAATTATTCAATGTTTATTTTAAGTCCACTGACTTTGATGCTGATTAGAAGTTTTAATTAGTGTTATAGTAGGTGAAAGGAATTTCATTCAGATAATTTTTTTTTATTTGTAGTGTTCTGTCTGACGACAGGTCCATATGAACAGGATCCTTCCATCCTTTTCTCGGACTGGGACCTGTTCATATACGTTCTTGGCAGATGATCCAGAAGTGGTTTGCCATTGCCTTCTTCTGTGTGTGAGTGGAGTAATTGTTGGGATGCCACGGAGAAACCGGGGAAGCCCCCGGAGGAAAACTCCGTGATGCCTAGACCACGGCCTTGCCCAACACAAGTTATAAATTTGAGCACCACCGGGAATTGAACCCGGGACCCCAGGCTTACAAGGCTAGTGTTCTGACCGCTAGACAAAGAATGTGTACTTCCGGTAAACACTCTCCCACCTTTTTTTGGCCATCTTGAATGTATTCCCACAAGAAGCACGTGTAATGGCTAGGCTGTGGGTAGGACGACCACGGTTCAGTTCTCGGTGGTACAGGATTTTGCTCTGGGACTTACCGAGCCAGGATTCTTTTCTTGGACATGAAATGATTGGATTGTGAAGCTGACTATAATGTCTTCTAGTGTCCTGGCTATGAATGTATGGAGTTACACCACGTCTTCCCCGCCATACACCTGAATGTCGTGGTGTTTGCATAAGCACCAGGGACAACTTTACTTTTTGTCATAAATATTATTTGCCTTTTAACCCCATTGGTCACTCTGCCCCACCTGCTTCAGCAATCAAAACATTTGTATTAACGGCTTTCACATCATTCTTACTATAAACAGGGATTATATCCTTAAACAGCGCTAACACGTTGATTTATGTTCCGGTGATGGATGCAGCAATGTATGACAATAAAACTGTCTTTTACCCATCATAAATGTTGTTTGTTGATGTCGGTATTGTGGGTTGTAACGCCTCCTGGACGTTCAGATGCAAATGTTTCGGATAAACATACTGCCTCTATCTTCAGGTGTGATATAATTGAACAGAGCATATTCGTTCGTCTCACAACTTGAGTACCTTTGGACAGATTTTGATTAAATTTTGTATTGATTGGTTCTTGCTCATTCGCCTTTATTTATAACAGCGTCAGAAGTTGGTATTAAGATATTTTAAAATCTAAGAGGCAATAACAAAGTGAGAATGCCACAATTTTTACGTCGTGCTTGAATTTCGTAGCTAATTTGTATCGCCTCAAGGACGAATTCGTAGTTATTGTTTGTGAAACTTGTTAGTGTACAGGAAGTCACATTGAATAATTATGTGATAATTACAGATTCACGTGCTGCAATTATAATCATTTGTGAATGAAATATTAAATTAAGGATCAATTGAATAAAAATTTTCTTGGATATTATCCATCGTCTAGTAAATATAAAACGTAAAACGACGTTTCGGAGATGGGACTCTATCTCCGTCTTCAGGAGATAGGGATTAGCTCTATCTAGTGGGACCAACTGTGTAGGAACCTGAAGACGGAGATAGAGCCCCATCTCCGAAACGTCGTTTTACGTTTTATTACTAGACGATGGATAATATCCAAGTAAATTTTTATTCAATTGACTCTTCACCATCGTCAAGAAGTTTTAGATTTGATTAAATTAAGGATGTCGGGTAAACGTAAGTCTGGATATGCTGTTTCAATCCTAAAAGCACGTAATGTATATCGGTTTTCAGCTTCTTGCGAAGTCGTCCTTGTACTCTGAAGACGTGAAGTGTGTCGTCCTAGTGCATAATTCATTCAGTATTGACAGACTGGAGTTTGCAGTACTTGAATATAAGATGCCCGTCGCAAATTTTTTTAAAAAACCCCCCAGAAAATCCACCTTCTTATATTCGCAAGCATCCGTAATTGGTGTATGCTTCATGTTTTTTTTGTCGAAATGGAACATAACAGGATATCCGATTATGTACGTGGAGACGAGACATTTATCTACGTGACACGCGAAAGCAGAATAAGGAGGGTTCTGACAGGAGCTTGGAATAAGCGCGTCACCTCATCCATTGTCACGGGGGGTTTGTTTTCTGACACGTAGATCGTCGTACACTTAATTTGTATCACAAAAGGCCCCTTACACATTGATCTAAGAACGCCAACTATGGATTCCCGAAGCTTGGGGGTTGGGCGTTGTGCTATAAGCTCGTTACTGTAACAAACTTCCGTGTTGCTATGGTGTGACATTAGAGTCATTACAATTGTGTTCGTTCAGGAGTTGAGAGTTGCGTGAATAATATACTCTGTCGTTGAAAATGTAATTGGTTCTGACGAAATTAAAAGGAGATCACGTGATCTGATTAGAATAAGAAGGCCGTTTACTGGGCTGTAACGCCGTGTAGTCTGATGGAAGTTTACCAACTTTTTGTAGAGGGCTAGAGGAAAGATCCTCTGCCTCCGTAGGGTATACGAACCCCGGTCGTCTGACTGGCGGAGAAAATTGCATAATGAGGAACTCCACAGACGAATTACGAGGGCGATGAAATGAACAAGGATTATGTAGCCAGACACAGCGATAGGTCACTGACCCGGCACAACTTTGACGTCATTTGCGTGATACGTTGAGGTCAGAAGTCATGTTTTGACGGAGCGGTCTGCCCCTCCTACGCTATGGTTCCGCCAGTTGCAAGGAAGAATTCACGGATTGAAAATCTACCATCGGCAACAAAGCGAACGTGCCAGAATTGTTACGCTGTGCGTTTCCTTCCTAACATCTTGTCTTAAGCATCGCATCCAGAGAGGCTGTGAGTCCCATCCAGTCTTATAACCGAGCGGCTGTTAATTCGGTGGTCAAGAGAACCAGAGCGTGGAGTTGGCCAATCAGGCCCGGTAGTTATAGCACTTTCTCTTCGTGGTAGGAACACACTAAACCTTACTGGAAGGCCGGAACATGTGTTAAAGCCCACAGTTCATCTACATATTCAGTCCGTACCGCGAAGAAAACACGACACTTCACCATTACAAAGATCAACTGGTTCACCCTTTAAAGTCGAAGCTCGTCTAAATAATATTTACGAATCCAGTCCGTACCGCAAAGAAAACACGACAATTTACCATTATGAAGATCAACTGGTTCATCCTTTAAAGTCGAAGCTCGTCTGAATAATATTTACGAATCCAGTCCATACCGCAAAGAAAACACGACACTTCACCATTACAAAGATCAACTGGTTCACCCTTTAAAGTCGAAGCTCGTCTAAATAATATTTACGAATCCAGTCCGTACCGCAAAGAAAACACGACATTTTACCTTTACGAAGATCAACTGGTTTACCCTTTAAAGTCGAAGCTCGTCTGAATAATATTTATGAATCCAA